ACAGGTAATAACGGTAATTCACAAAATCCCAATAACGCAGAACAGATACAAGTGACAGAACGTACGCACAGTTCACACCAAGGTGATGATACTCATGGTAACAACGGTGCAGACAATAGTACTACACAAACTCAGACAAGTACAGGCACTGACTCTCCTTCTGACATTCCATTACAGAACGGTACAACCGATAACATTACCTCAGCGAACACAAATTCTGACAATACACCCAATAATGAGGAGGAATCAACCACCACCACCACCACAACAACAACACTTCCTCCTGAACTCACAAACAACAAGAAGGGTGATGCAGACAGCAGCAGCAGTATCAGCAGTTCTGTGTGGGTGCGTGTGCCACTACTGATTGTGGTTACACTGGCCTGTATTCTTGTGTGCTGATTGTAGTGGTGGTGGTGGTGGTATTACTCAGGTCATCCTTTGTTTTCTTTTTTGGATGTATCCACACTACAGTCTAACTAATCTTCCACCTGTTGGGAGTTTCTTTCTTTTTGTGTTTCTTAATGTTAATGTGTTTTGTGTGTTTGTTGCTCTCTGTGTTTATGCTATAATTATTATTATTGCTACTCCATTGTGTGTGTGTGCGTGTGTTCTTGGAGACTCTCGCTGTGTGTGCTTGGGCTTGCACTATAATGATAATGATGAACTGCTTTTTTTATAGTAAGAAGAAAAGAAAATAATAATAACAGATGAATTTATATTTATAATTGCGTATATATACATACACATATAGACTTACACCCATAGTTGGTGTATATTTCTATGTTTACTGGGTAAATTGGGCTAATGGTTAATGATTCTTTGTTTGCTTATGATTTGTTGGGACATTCTATGCTGTACTGCGGGAGTCTTTGATGANAGCAGCAGTATCAGCAGTTCTGTGTGGGTGCGTGTACCACTACTGATTGTGGTTACACTGGCCTGTATTCTTGTGTGCTGATTGTAATGGTGGTGTGACTCAGGTCATTCTTTGTTTTCTTTTTCTTTTTTTTTGCATACATCCCTACAGTCTAACTAATCTTCCACCTGTTGGGGATATTCTTTTTTATAATGTTAATGTGTTTTGTGTGTTTTTGCTCTCTCTATGTTTATCCTATAATAATTATTATTGCTACTCCATTGTGTGTGTGTGTGTGTGTGTGTTCTTGGAGACTCTCTCTGTGTGTGTGCACCTGGGCTTGCACTGTGATAATAATGATGAACTCCTTTTTTTACTAAGAGGGAAGAAGGAAATAATAATAACAGATGGATTTATAATTGCTTGTATACACATATAGACTTACACCCATAGTTGGTGTATATTTCTCTGTGTTTATTGGATAAATTGGGATAATGGTTAATATCTGTTTCTTTGGTTGCTATTGTTTACCTTGTACTGATTTGCTTTCTGAAGAAAAAAGAGTAACTGATACATATTTATTGTTAATTGCTTATGTACAAATGCACATCACGGTCTGAATGCTGTTTATGTGCAGTTGGTGGGTTTGTTGTCTGTGCTCGTAAACTGTTTATAATTTATTTTTGCTTGGGCTTTTCTGTGTGAGCCGCCTGTTTCATTGCTTTTTTATACTTTGTGTTGGTGTTCTTCTTGTGAGTGATTGTTGCTTGTTTGTTGCATCCTTTCCTGTGTGTCTGTTTCTAATTTATTTTATTTTTGCTTTTTTTTATTTTTTGATCTTTAACAGTTTATATACCTAAGAAAACAAACGAGAATTAAATTTTTTCGTGATGAGGGTGCTGCGACGTTTGTTGTGTTTTTTTGCTTTCTTGCTGAACGTTGCCTCTCTCTGCACGTCCGCTAGCGGGGCTGCTGGACTTCCTGAAGCTGCTACTGAATCTCGTTGCCCTTCGGGTTCTTCTAAGCCTGATTGTCCTCCTGGTGGTCCTGCACCTGCTGTTCAACCTCCTGGAACACTTCCTGCTGCTGTTTCTACTCCTTCTCCACGTGCCGGCGGTAAAGATTGTACTTCAGATATGACTGATCCTTTGTGTACTGCTAGCGATAGTGAACATGAAGCTGCTCCTACTGATGATTGTGTGACATCTTCTGACAAGAAGAGTTGCCCTAACAATGATGCTGACACTCAAGAGAATTGCCGTGATGATTCTGGTGGTGCCTGTACACAAACAGAAATAATCCCTGCTCCTGAACAGTCTGGTAAGAGTCCTGTTAAAAATGGTGATGAAAATCCGCACGACCGTCTTGATGAAAATAGTATACCTGGTGCTGATGGTCATAGTAATAGTGGTCCCGGTAATAAAGCTGATGCTGGTTCTGCTGCGGGTACTGGTGGTGTTGCTGCTGGTCGTACTTCTCATTCTGAAGCTCCTATTCCTGCTGCACCTGCTCCTTCTACTGCAGGGAACAGTGATGCTCCTTCTGCAAATCCTCAACATACAAACAATGAAGCAAGTGAAACTGGACCATCACCAACTACACCTTCTTCCAGCAGTTCAGCCACAGCAAGTGACGGTGGTTCAACTACTGCATCAAATGAGACTGATAATACATCTTCAGGGAGTGAGTCCACAACCAACCAAGAAGGTGTGGCAAGTAATACAGATACAACCACCACCACCACAACAACAACCACAACACTTCCTCCTGAACTCACAAACAACAAGAAGGGTGATGCAGACAGCAGCAGCAGTATCAGCAGTTCTGTGTGGGTGCGTGTACCACTACTGATTGTGGTTACACTGGCCTGTATTCTTGTGTGCTGATTGTAATGGTGGTGGTGCTGTGGTGTGACTCAAGTCATCCTTTATTTTTTTTTCTTTTTTTGCATGCATCCACACTACAGTCTAACTCATCTTCCACCTGTTGGGATTTTCTTCTTTTTTTTTGTTTCTTAATATTAATGTTTTTTGTGTTTTGTGTGTTTTTGCTCTCTACGTTTATCCTATAATAATTATTATTGCTACTCCATTGTGTGCGTGCTTGGGCTTGCACTGTGATAATGATGAACTGTTTTTTGCAGTGGGAGAAAAAAGGAAAAGAAATAATAATAACAGATGAATTTATGTTTATAATTGCATCTATATGTACACATATAGACCTACACCCATAGTTGGTGTGTATTTCTGTGTTTACTTGGATAATTTGGGCTAATGATAAATATGTGTTTGTTTGCTTGATGATTTTGCTGGGTGGTTCAACCTTTTTTGAGATATTTGTGATTGTGGGCTTTTTTGTTTGTTTTTACTCTTACTGAGGTTATTGCGCTGTATTTCATAACTTAACTAGTAGGTTTTTTATTTTTTCGATGTGAGTTTCTTTTGTGGTAATCGATTTGCGTGTCCTAACATGTTTTATACTTCATTTATTTTCTTTTTTTGCTTTTTTATTGTCTTTCTTTCTAGATCAGTGTTTTTACGCAAACCAAACTTTTGTCTCTCTCATGATGATGATGATGGGCCGTGTGATGTGTGTGTTGGCCGTTGTGCTGTGCTGCGCCTGCGGGTATACCATGACGGCTTCTGCTGCTGCTGGTTCTTCTTCTGCTTTTGTGTATACCAGTAAATCTGATTATTCGCTCGATTGGAAGGATTTTCTTATAAGTACAAGCAATACAAAAAAGTGTGAGACCGACAAGTTGGCGACAGTTGATGGAATAAGTTGTTCGCTGAGGAAACAGCCTGGAGAAAGTTCAAGTGCCCCTAAAGAACACGAAGACACAAGGAGAGGTGCAAGTGGTGAAGAAGCAAGGAGTGAAGAGGTTAGCTCATTACAGACTCACGTGCAAGCTAATGGTCAAAGTTCACATCAACACTCTGATATAAGCCGTCTATCACCAGCAACGTCCAGTATACCTGTGGGTTCTGACGCACAAGATGATGGTCATGCTAATGTAGAAGAACAGAATCGAGTAACACCAACAGTTACCAGCACGCAAAGCCAAACTACTGAATCTACTTCAGAGAGCAGCACAACTTCGACAGCATCCACTAACGAGAGTGCAGGTACCAGTGCGACTGCCGCAAACACAGCTGATACCAGTACACCTGCCACCTCTAATGCTACCCAGCAATCTCCTGCAAATGGTGATGCATCTGCCGCACCAGACTCACAAGAAACCACTTCCACTACTCTGCCGATCTCCGAGAACACCACCACAGAAGCACCAACCCCCACTCCATCTCCTGTACCCAACGCAGATATCAACACCAACATCACTTCCACCATGCAGAACAAGGCTAATGCTGACAGCAGTGTGAGTCCTCTGTGGATGCGTACTGCAGCACCGCTTCTGATTGTGGTTGTGTTGTTCTCCGCTACCGTGTACTGAACAGTGGGACTCATCTGAGGACAAATAATAATAATGGTTAAACTCACATAATCATAATTGCGTATAGCCCCCATGGGTGAATAAATTAATAATCTGTTTACTAGCTTTCTCTTTTAATTGGAATTTCTTTTCTTTTGCTTTTGTATGTTGGTTGTTTTAATTCCATTACTTGCTTTTCCCGTTGTGTGAGTGGAGTAAACTGGGCTGTTCTGCTCATTGACGGCATACTTTTNAAGGGTGATGCAGACAGCAGCAGCAGTATCAGCAGTTCTGTGTGGGTGCGTGTACCACTACTGATTGTGGTTACACTGGCCTGTATTCTTGTGGGCTGATTGTGCTAATGGTGGTGTGACTCAGGTCATCCTTTGTTTCCTTTTTCTTCTTTTTTTGCATACATCCACACTACAGTCTAACTAATCTTCCACCTGTTGGGATTTCTCTTCTTTTTGTTTCTTAATGTTAATGATATTGTTTTTGTTGTAGTGGTTTAAGTACTATCACGAATAGTCATTACTTTCACTATTACCATTCCATATTATTCTTATATATATACGTACTGTTAACAGTAATAATAATAATAATAATAATAATAATAAGGAGAAAGCAATGATGATTTTTCTTTTGTGTTTTGTGTTGTGTTGTTTAAAGATTGATGATTTGTTGACTCTACTGGTCTTGTTTGTTTGTGGTTTTCCTCATAATTGCTGTAACTGAATCACCTTTAATCCACATTGTTGACTGTTCCAAAATTTTGTGTCCCACTCTCTTCCACATGTAGATATTTACATTATTATAAAATTCAACCATGAGCACGGATTCTGAATTGCAAGCCAAACATAATGCTGCCGTCGAGTGTTTTAAAGACGCCGAATGGGCCGAGGAAACTGCTCTGAAGAAAAGGAATGAGAAACAGGCCTTAGCACAAGAAACACAGAAGGGCACCAAAGAGTATTATTTCGCTTGGGCGGAGGTGTGGAATGCAGAAGTAGTTCTTCTTGAAAAGATTGAACAAAGATGTGGTGCTGCGTTTACAAGAAATTCGTGCTATGCAGACTGCATGAAATACAGGCGCGGATCTGACTCCAAGGAAGCACAAATAGCCCAGCATCGTGCGGAGTTGGCTCGCACAATGGAGTTTATTGACACCCATTACCCTCTATATTGGATAAAATGGGATAAGTTGGATAACATAGCTCTATTTGTGTATTATCATCTTAAGGCAGAAGGTTATGTCAAGATTGCAGATGATCTCGAAAGGGCACAAGATATGTTTTGTAAGCTTATATACAGAGAATCCAATGGTAAAACCCTTTCCAGGGCTTGGCATGCAGCTGTTGAAGCGTTGGATGAATGGGAGCAGAACGATAATCGTGCAGCCTGGGATAAGGCCAAACAGGTGTACGACTCCGCACTAGCCAAGTGGAATCATTTCAAACCCAAGGGTGAACAATACGCGGAAGAATTACAGGTTAAAATATGTCAATATGTGAACCTCTCTTCACCAGTGTACGCTATTGTAAGTCAGTGGGAGAGTAGTGCGTTGAATGATGCGTTGGACCAGAAAAGTCAAATGATTGCTGATTTAAATGATCAACTGGACGAGAAGGATCAACAGATCGCTGCGTTGAAGAATGAACTGCACCAAAAGAGTCAAGAAAATAAAGAAAAAGATCGAGAAAATAGATACTTGCGTGGACGAATAAGTGAACTCGAGAGGAAGGTTAAAGAATTCAATGTTCTTGAACGTGACATACTAGGGGAAGAGTGACAAAATTGGTTGGAAAAGATGACGTCATTATATGCAAACTTGGTAAATTGGATCCAGGAAAGAATTGCCAAAATGGCAGCATTGGAAGAAGAGGAAGCTACCACTCGTAATAAGTATAAGCATGAATTTTATGATTCGATCAAAGAGATTGAGAAGCATCACTTTGCGCTTAAGGCAATGTTGAGTGGGTGGATATTTGATTAGTTTTTCAACTTCTTAACCTTCACAGAATTATGTGTAAAGAAACGGAATAACCGCTGTTTACATATTTGACTTTTCCCTAAACAATCTATACCATGATCTCCCCTATGTTGATATTATTCATGCAATTGTTAAATCTGAAAAGCAGGCAGAGGGGCTAAATCGAAGAGAAAAAATTGGAAATAATAATCGAATTACGAAAGATCTATGATGATGCTGTCAAGTGTTGTAAATCCGCCGAACAGGCCGGGGTGGCTGCTAAAAAGGAAAAGAAAGAAAATAGACGGTGCTCTCTTGATGCTGCTGATATTTGTGTAATAAATACAAAGAAACTGCCACTGCTGTTGCTCTCTCTCTCTCTCTGTGTGCTGGGTACTGTGGTGGGGACCCTTCCAGAGAGTGTTGGTAATCACTTGTTTACTGTTCATAATATTTTCTTTGCTACTGTGTTTTTGTTCACTGAGCGCTGAGAAAATTAATCCCGATGACACCCGCTGGAATGAGGTGCATTAATTTGTGTGGAAATACTCTTAATCTCTTTTCATTTTTATACTTGGAAGCAGAGCATTGCTGTGCACCTCGTGGTGTGTCTCACTCTGCAATTGTGTGGTTCTGGTAAACGATATCTCTTTTCTTTTTTTTATTTGCTTTCACATTATTTATGAGCGGGATAAAATATAATTTGTTTGTTACTGTGGGGATACTAATTATAATGGGGACGTGACGAAGCCAACACAGGGAGATTTATGCATTATCCGTTATTATTACTGTTTCTCTGTGTGTGGCTATCTCTGCAATGTTACCAAATGATATTGAATTTGTTTATAATCGTTTTTTTATTTGGGGTTGGATGATTCTTCATATTGTTTGAATAATGGGTATTTTCCCTAATCTGTATCCACCTCCGTTATATTCATGATTGACTCTATGTGTGTGTGTCTGAGTGAGTGGAGTAATAATGATGTACTGGTGCTTTTGTTTTCTCTTCCTTCTCTTTTCCACACTCCCTACATAGATCTGTGAACTCAAGTGACGAGAACAACAAGAAGAACATCTTTTGTCATGATGCTGCGCCATCTGTTCTATATCCTAGCTTTGCTTCTGAGTGCTACCTCTTTATGTGTGGCAGCTGAGAGGGTGGAGGTGGTGATCGTGTTGTTCCTGATACTGCACCTGAAACCAAAGTTCTTCATACTGAAGTGCAACAGACTGACCGCCCTCCTGCCGGTCCTATGGATCCTGCTAGTCTTTGTCCTGCAGTTAGTGATGATGGCGGTAGTTGTCTTACTACTTCTGCTGAGAAGCCCTGCCCTCCTAATTCTTCCGTTTCAACCGATGGTCAGCCTTGTTCCCCAGCATCAGCAAAAGTACCGGATGCAACTCAACCACAACAGATAACTACTGGTGATCCTGGTTCTGGTGGTCATGGTTCTTCTTCTGATTCTCTCTCTGAAACTGGGGTTCATGGAGCTGGTATCATTTCTGGTGTTCAACCCCAACAACCTCCTTCACCTCCTACCCTTCCTCATCAGCAATCTGCGCCTGGTACCACTTGCACTCCGACTTCTCCTGATCATCCTTGTACAACTACACCAGAGGAACTCACTCCAACTAATCCAGTAATAACTACTACTGAAGAGGCTGGACATGGTGCTCTCATTGATGCCCCTTCTAATAAAGATGGTCATCTTGCTGCTGCTGCGACTGGTGCTCACGTTACATTAAGTGAATCTGCTCCTGGGATTGGTTCTGGTTCTGGTACTGATGATACCTCTTCTTCTTCTTCTTCTTCTTCTGATCATTCTACTGCATCTCCTCCATCTGCTGCTTCTGCTCCTGCTAGTGATCCTCAACCTGGAAACAGCGACAACCATGCATCCACTGCAGCAGATAACCAGGGAAGTGCTGAGGGAACACAACCTTCTTCTTCTTCCACCAGCAGTTCAGAGACAGTGAGTTCCGGTAGTTCTGAAGCCACAATAGTTGGGAATGGCACTTCATCTGCAGAAAATGGTTCATCAAGTAACCAAGGAGGAAATGTGAGAATTACAGATACTACTACCACCACCACAACAACAACAACACTTCCTCCTGAACTCACAAACAACAAGAAGGGTGATGCAGACAGCAGCAGCAGTATCATCAGTTCTGTGTGGGTGCGTGTGCCACTACTGATTGTGGTTACAATGGCCTGTATTCTTGTGTGCTGATTATTGTGATGGTGATGTGGTGTGAGTCAGGTTATCCTTTGTTTTCTTTTTTTTTTTGCATACATCCCTACAATCTAACTAATCTTTTACCTGTTGGTAATTTGTTTTGCTTTATTTTATTGTTTTTTGTGTGATTACCCTATATATGTTACTCCATTGTGTGTGTGTGTTTTTTTTTTTGGGCTACTGTGTGCTTTTCTTTCTACAAATGACAGCTTGTCTTGTGTAGTGAGAGAAAAAATACTTATAAGAGATACTTTTTTTTACATATATTCATAATTAAGTGTACAACGTTTTACATTGATAGTAGTTGTATTTGGCCGTTTACTGTAGAACATGGGCTATCTGTTAATTTCTTTTTGTTTGAGTTGCGTTTGTTTGGATTGTTTTGTCCAGAGAGGAAAAGTAAAAGCAAATTAATAAATATACATATACATATAAATATATATATATTAATAATTTCCTATACGTGACTATGGAAGGATGTACTTTTGTAGTACTGTATGTGCTGTGGCAGCTGATTCTGTTTTTTTGATTGTTTTGCTTCTTTGATTTCAGGTTGGGGGTCCTCTGCAGTACAGTGGGTTATGTGCATTCTCTTTTTTCTGTGGAGTCGTACTGATGATTGGTACTGTAAACATGGTTTTTTGTGTGGGACTATTTTCTCTTGTTGTTGTTACATTTTGTATTATTGCTCTGCTGCACTGTTGTAATCTCTCCTATTCATTTTCCCTTTCCTGTGTTCTTTTTTCGTTAGTGTTTCATCGTTATTATTCTTCCTTTACACATGTAGATGCATCCAAGACGATTGAGGATGAACTGACATCCTGAAGGTGGTATTGTGATATCCGGAGACCTTGTGATGTTTACTGGAGACGCTCCCATTCCATTTTGTTGGGCTGCAAGCCTAAATGCAAGCTGAAGCATTGGGCTGATGGCATAAAGGAACACTGCGAGTAAAACTATAGCCAATGGGTGGTTTCTCTTTGGTTGTATTTGTGGTCTTTTACCACTAT